TCGCCTTCCAACCACTACAACCTTCCGACCTCCACCTCTGGCTACCATTGCCCTTTCGTCGTTGTTGTCTCATGCCACTGCCTTCTGGCCTCCACCTCTGGTTGCCTCCGCCCTTCGGCCGCCGTCGTCTAAGGCCACAACCATAGCAGCAGTTGCCACCCTCCAACCACAGTCGTCTCCGACTGCCAAACCAATGTGTGCTACGAGATTCATGACGACAAAGTAAATATCATCTCAATGTAGTACGAAAATTCAGCACATACTCAGATAAAAATAAGAACAAGAAGATAACACAATAAGTTTTTACGTAAAAACCCCAAAAAGAGAAAAAACCACAGGGCTTTCCTAAGTTGAAATGTTCTAATATGGGTTGGCGATTACAGCTACAACCCCTTTTCCCACACACAAAAAAAGTTACACAATTTCTCGAATTACAATGTTTGCGCATGGATGAAACCCATGATAGGGAGCGTGCGGCAATCACAACCTAAGACGACAGCAGCTGCCTAAGAGGGCAATAATCAAGAGGCAACGGTGGTTGTCGTGAGGGCAGTGAAGGTTGGAAAGCCTCCAGGTGGAGAAGGTCGAAAGGCGACGATGGTGGGAAGGCAGTGGTGGCCAGAAGGCAGCAGTATGAGCCGATGGCGGCCGAAGGCAGCGACGACAGTCAAAAGGAGGCTGCAGAGGCCTGAGACGATGGCGGACGAAGGGCAAAGGAGACCGGATGTGACAGTGGCTGCTGCTTTTGAAGGCGCAGACGGTCGGAAGCGACGACAGCTAGAAGGCGGCAGCGACGGAAGACGACGATCGCCAGAAGGAGGCGGTTCTAACCCATGGCGGCCTAAGACGATGGAGGTTGAACGACAGAGGCAGCAGACGAAAGGCGAGGAGGACCGGAGACGGCGATGCAGCAGGCTAGGCCTCAGGTCCCTCTTATGCAGACTCTACTCTGTTTCTGGTTCTGAGCCTCGATCCCCTCCCATGGGGGGCTTAGGGCTCTATTTATAAAGTCTAAATTGCAAATAAGACAAAAGTTAAAAACACCCTTGATCAGAAAGACGAGAGAGATCCCCTCCGTCAAACAGCGTTTGATAGACGTTTGACTGTCGTTAAGTTTGACTATGTTTGCTGGAATCATACATCTAGATAAATTTTTTATCAAAGTTTAATTTTTTCTTGCTAAAAGATTTGCATCGATATTTGTCATGCCTCGATATTCGTGTTGGACATTGAAAATTTATTTGTGATGCATCTGTTGCCCCCTACTTTTGGGTAGAACCAACAACATCGTCTGAAAATATTGAAATCTAGAACACTCTGATTTTTTATAATATTTTTCATTTATACATTCACATACAAATCAAAACAATTTTGAATTATCCATTATTTCTCTCTCTCTCGCTCTCTTTTGTATGTATATATATATATATATATATGTGTGTGTGTGTGTGTGTGTGTGTGTGTGTTTCTTTATACATATAAAAGCCTTACAGCTTAGCTGTCCATGACATGCTTGCAATGTGAGAGGTGGGGATGGGCCTAACTGAGGCCGAGATATGGACTAGTTCGGTAGGCCATAAAGCTATTTAATGTGGGCAGTCTCGCGGAGCAGGCTCGAGTCTTGCATGGCCCGCCCGCGCGGTGGCTTAGCTGGGTTGTCGGATCATCTATCCGTGGGATCGGAAAGGACGGTTGTGGTCTTTCCTGTGTTTCAGGCGATGGATCCAAGAGAAGAGGTGTGGTCGTTGGTTCCAAAGAACTAGATCATCCCCTTGAAAAAGGAGGTGAATCCAAAGGTCTGGTTTAATTGCAAATAATTTTGAATTAATCCAGATTTTGGTTTAAATTAAGAAGATTGGGACCTCCATTAGCCAATAAATAGGGGGTTTGTGGTGAAAGGAAAATTTCAGAAAAAAGAGATGAGAAGAAGAAAAAGACAGAGAAAAATTTATAGGGGAGGGAGGAACCTCAGGAGGGAGAGGGAGAGGGAGAGGGAGAGAGAGAGGCCCAAGGGAGGAGAGAATTCAGCACCAGGGGAGGAAGAAAGTGTAGAAAAGTGGAAGAAAAATAAGAGAAAAAATATTTTGCTCATCAAACAGGCGATTTGAGATTTCTTTCTTCAATCATTTTTTTTGTGAAGAAGCGGGAGAAAGTAATCCCGAAAGTTATCCCTAACCATGCACAGCGGGCCCTCCAGGAACTCCATTCGCACTACTGAGATGGAGACATCTAGGGGACATTGCCCTGCCGAAACCCATAGGAAGTGCCAGAACCCTGAGGACGTAGTGTCGAAGCTGACGGAGAGCGACTTGATTCTATTCTAGAATAAATATTACTTCTCAAATGATATGCAATCAACTCCAACTAATCGAGCTAACTCTCCCTCTTCAAGATACATCACCGTTCACGATGCGATATTACGAGCTGGTCTACGATTTGCATCGGCGCCCGAGTTTATGGACATCTTGAAGGCGATCGGAGTTTGCATCAAACTTTCTTTTCGGGTGGAGATGATAATTATCGGGATGATCATCTTTTTTAGTAGATGCGGGTCAAAGTTGATGCCTGAGATCTTGGCCCAACTGTGGGGGTTTGCTAGCGACGCACACTGTCGTGCATTTTTCAAGAACAAAGTTTGGACTTCAACCTGAAGGATTCGATGAAGGATTGCTCTAAAAGGTTTTCTTTTGCTCAGAATGATTAGGGATTTCACAAGAGAAGAGGAAAGTTGAAACAACTGCCCATCTTGCTCCATACCACCGAAGATGGGATACTGCGGATGTTGGGTTTTCGGGACCTCAAGGAGATGCAATCTGAGATGCAACATATTTATGAGCTTGTAAGCGAGGAATCTCTATTCCAGGTCAAGCTTTCATTCCATCCTAGCGATCTTCGGCAATTGCGTTAAAGAAAACCAATAAGAGACCCCTTGAGCTAGCTCGCACGATACCCCCGAAGCGTCCGCTGTCAGGTAGTGACCGTGGGGTACTTCCTCAAAAGCAGAATAAGAGAAGCGAAGAGGTGATGAAGTCATCCGCTTGCCCTTCAAGGTTTTGTATTCCAGAATTTGTATTGAAACATGCGTGCACCTGGTTGCAGGAGGCAAAGATCTTCGTGAGTTATTCTCTCTTTTATTTTTCATTTTTTTTACGTAATTATTTCATTTGTCTCATGCCAAATTTTCTTTCCCGCAGAACAAGATGACAAAACTTCGGATGAAGCTTGTTTTGCTTTGGGAGAGTGGAATTATGAGTTCGTTGGGAATAAATCCTTTCAAGGCAAGTACAAGGGCTAATAATTCTTGAACTGAGGAAGTCGCAGCCTTGGAGTCACAGCTAACGGAGTGCACGACAGAGCAGTCTACAGCGGCGACTCAGAAGTTGGTAGAAGCACGAGCCGACTTAAGTCACAGAAATAAGAGCGTGAAGGCTCTGCGGTTGAGGGTGTCGGCCCTAAAGGATGAGAAGCAAAAGTTAAAGTTTGAGAAAGATGTCGACATTATTGGGATCGAGCACAGGGCAATCGAGAGCTTCAAGTACTCGATCGATTTTAGAAACAATCATTCGGGACCACGTTCAGGAGGCTCGCAACCATATTCTTAACGTTGAGGCGAAGGAGCAGCAGAAATGGTTCATCGATGAGGTATTCATTCGGGGCTTCCTGAAAAGGAGTCAGCAGCGCAACACTGGGCTGCAGTTATCATGGAGGGACTTACCCCCAATCAGGCCCCTTCATCAGATTTTGACAGCGATGACATTGAAAGCGAATTGCAAAAGGTCCTCTTTATTAACGAGGAGGCAAAGGAAAACATTGATGTCATGTAGTACTAATGCCCTTGTTCTTGTTTATCTGTCATGTTTTATGAGCAAGACAAATGTAGTGATTTCTTCTCATCTTTGACTTTTTTCTCATGTTTGTCAGGATTATGTCGCATTGATGCATTTGGCACTGACGCAATTGGTACGGATGCATTTATGGACAAATTAGTTTATTGATTTTATTTTATTAAATCTTTGGCCCCCAAGCTTCTCTCTTTCTTTTGTGAACATTTCTTGTGACGATGAATTGTGTTTTTATGTTGTAACGGATGTGAAATGTTGTCTAGAGACTCTGATCTGAAAAGCGGTTGTTGTGAGGAAAGATTGTCAGCGACCTTTGATTTACTCGGGTCTGTGTATCAGAGTATTACTCGACGATGTTAGCCTGAACGTGATAAGCCAGTGGAAGTTCATTGAGGACTTCTAACCCATCTTAGGTTGTTAGTTGGAGTATTGCTTGCTTATTAACTTGTGCGGACGGGATAGGGAGCAATCCACCAAGGACTGTTAACCTATCAGGGATTTTTTATCGGACCAAAGCTCAAAGATGTTAACCACCGCCTCCGCCTCCACCCTTCGGCGGCCACCGTTGTTGCCCTCTAGCCATCACTGCCCTTCAACTGCCGCCATTTCAAGTCACCCCCACCGCCTGCTTCCACCATGGGTTCATCCGTGCAAAGTGTAATCCGAGAAACTGTGTAATCCTTTCACGCCTGTAATAGCCAACTTATAGTGGAAGTGCCCATGGTGGGAGCGGGCGACGAGGGTGACCTGAGATGTGTGTTGGATTTCAGTACTATGATAAGACAATAATCATTTACTCTGCCGCTGCAAATATCCTAGCATGTATCACCATCAATGCAACAATGGATTTAAGTTTAGGCTCTATGCGGTGGATTTACATGCATACCATCCCAATTCATATGAATTTACATATCTAACACCTAAAATTTATGTTTTTACATTGACACCACACAAATCTTTCATATCACATAAGAAATACCACCAGTTTAACTTTTAAAAAGTGAAATACACCTTCTCATCCATTGAAAAGGTGGTATAGAGTAAAAATTGAAGTTTTGGTGTTAGATATGTAAATACATAGAAATTAAGTGGCATGAATGTAAATATTCCTTCTTTTATATTAATGTTATTTAGTTCATTTAAGTAAAGATAAATTACTCATCATATCCGCGATACTCGATATCACCGCCATCATCTTGCACAGCAGGACGAATTCGAGTCTCCAAAAGTTCTTTGATCATTGCAACAATTTCAGAATCATTCTACAAAAATAAGCAAAACAAAAAGAGGATGAGAACTTCACTCTAACCTTCACAACTTAAACATCAGGATCCAGAGTTGTCCTTTAAATTAAAAAGAAAGATCACATACCACTCAATTCCTGTGTATTTGCATACCTAAACTTCAAATTTTACATAATTTCCAACTTATCTATTGATGAAAAGGTTTATTTCACTTCGTAAATAGTTTAGGTGTTAGATATGTAAGAACATAGAAATTGGGTATATGTAGAATCAGTTGATGGATGGGGCTTTCCAAGTTAGTAAACATGAAAGCTCAAGTCTAAAATTTATTGATTGTTGTAGACCAACAATTGATTCCCCTCCCCCAGGAAAGGAAAAATCACAGCTATTAACTTTAGAGCTACTTTTGGGGCATTTACATACATACCACCCAATTCATATGTATTTACTTATCTAACACCCAAACATTGTTTTTTTATATTTATAACACCCAAATGTTTCATATCACATCAAAAATACCCCTGTTTTAACTTTAGAAAAGTGAAATCCAACTTTTCATGCATAGGTAAGGTGGTATGTAGGTAAAGATCAAAGTTTAGGTGTTATATATGCAAATACATAGTAATTGAGTGGTATGTACGTAAATCTTCCTTGATTTTATTGTAACAAATGAACTGATAACCTCCAAGTTGACATGCTATCACAGTGAAACAACCTGATAAGATTGGTAGCCGAAAGGTAGTCTGCCATTACAAACTTGACCGATATTCCAAAATAAATAGCCAAAAAAAGGTCAGCCTTATAATCGAAATAATTAGCATTGATTTTTTCTAAATAAAAGATTAAAAAATGGTCCTAAACCTTAACGTCAAACAACTCGAGAGATAAGGTCACCAACAATTTCCTGAAAGGCATTTAATCATCATAAATTTCACTTTTCACCCCTTTACCCTCCCTAAATGCAAATATAATAAGCACTGTAGATATAATACATCCAATAGAAGAAATAATTATGTAACTTTGTGGGAAACACGCTATTAATCTTAAATTATGTTTTTCGCCTATAAATTCAATTCTCTTTATTTCATATCCATCAATCTGATATACTTACAATGCATGGGATTTACATTTTAATCAACATATATAAGCTAGCCTAATTTACATTTAAGCTTAGCTCTAGTATTTTCATTTTAGTTGAACTAAATTTCTATAAGCCTAAGGTATCAAATGAAAGAATGTACTTCACACTCTCCTGTTTTATATTCATTTCCCAATCAAATAAAGAGGAAATCATTTTGTTAGGCAGCAAAAACTTCCATTCAAAGTAGGGAATCCAAATCATTTTATCTTTTCTATTTTTTGGGAAATTTACATGCCAAGCACACAATTCTTATGCATTTACACAATTCTTATGAATTTACATATATCACACCTAAACTTTTGTATTTACGTAGATGACACTTTGGTGCTTTAAAATTATAAGTGAAAAAAGTGTGTTTCACTTTTAAAAAGTCATAGCAATGCTATTTTTTATGTGATATTAAAGATTTAAGTGGAATGTGTGTAAATATGAAAGTATAGATGCGATATATGTGAATGCATTAGAACTGTGTGCTATATACATAAATGCCCACATATTTATTTCTTAAACTTCCATTAATTTTGAAAGAAACAAACCAAAAAAGGACCAAATCAAAGGAGACGGGAATTGCAACAGAAACCCATATTAACCACAGAACAAGAAGCCCAAGCAAGCAATAGAAAAATAGAAAAATCACAACCATGGAAGGAGGATAACATCATATGTATATAAATTGAGATTCCAACCTAACTTATCACTGATTACAACTAAAATTCACAAAAAAAATAATATAAAAAATAAAAAGTTCAAAATATAAATATAAATTTAAAATTACAATTTTCAAAAGGAACCTTATAATGAAAGCATTCTACTTTTCTAATGACTACGAACTTTATATTCACATAAATCAGGCCCAACTTGGAAGAATAGAACTGATAAATTGTGCTGTTAACATTTTTCTAGGAGATTGGAGATATATATGAATCCTCACTTGTATAAATAAGGGACTTCAAATATATGAACATTATTTCATCACCAATTATAGCTATGGGCACAAAAATAATGACTTCTGGGAAGACTACAAATGTTGGGCCGGACATGAAAATTTGAAGGGTAAAAAATGAGATGAATCTAAAGCATTGGTCAATGAGAACATAAAAGTCAAACTAAATATATTATATTTCTTGATAATTACAAATTGTATGTATTCATTACATTTAATAAGTTTAAATGATCACATTTTTTAAGCAGTACTTATTAGCTAGAGAAAATCGTTTTAGCTTTATCGGACTATGAATTAATGGCTTCTTTGAATTCCACGTATGACTTATAACTGTCAAAGTTAACACCAAGCTTCCTGCAGTATTATTCATGCAAATTATGCATAAATAAACTTAAATTAATCAATCAGAACTACATTTTTTAAATTGAGTCGTACAAATGAACTTATTGAAAAAAGAATTATGTTTGAATTTAGTTGTAGATAACATAAAATCCTAATTAAATGCATGATAACTTATCAAAAACAATAATACATTGCCTAGAATTTAATTAACTAGTTTCGTCTATAAATCAATTTGTCGGTGAAAAATTGTTGAAAGTTATATTTGATTTCTAATTTTTCCATAAACTCTTTTAAATGTCACTCATAAATTTTATATTTTTGTCAAATAAGATGGTTTTAAATAGCAAATGTCATTTAATAACTCGATTGAAACATAACTTCAATATATACAATGCATCTATTTTCATGTAATAATTGGTAAAACGCATCGATAAGAAAATCCACCACCATAGAGAGACATTTTTCTTAAAACTTTTGGCAATCCTAACACATTAGCCATTCAATCAACTTCCAACTGCTTATAAGGAATAGGCAGTAGTTTGCATATCTAGATATTATTTTTTATACCTTTTAACTTATGTGCAAATTTTGTGTTTTCGTACTCTGACTGCTACATTTCTTTGCAAACTCAGCCAATAAAATCTATCCTTCACAATAGTTATTGTTGAAATTCATAATAAAGCGGAAGAATGGAATATTTTTCATTGATATGAAAGAGGGTATAAATAACTCTTACATAGATCTTAAAATTAGAAAGATAATAAAAAGAAAATAATATGAAAGGAAAGATATATCACATAATATCTCTAATTAATCAATTTATATTAATTTTAGAGATAAACGAAAAAAACTCTTAATCCAAGGAAATAAATTCTAATCTAAGGAAACAATTTATTTCTCATAACTTTTCACAAGAATAAATTACTTCCTAATATAACTTCTAACACTGTCCCTTAAGTTGAAAAATAATTAAAAATCATGTTCAACTTGGATTTGAAAACATCAAACAATGTGCGAAGAAGATCTTGTGAAGTAAAACTTGAAATCTTCATCCCGTACTTCGGTTGTCATTGACTGCAGTTTCTGCAGTGTCTGTAGGTAGGCGGAAGACTCCTACAGGTAATGTTGCATGGGAGCTTGTAAATAAGTAGACAATTGTGTTGTCTTTGATTGCAGTTCTAGCAGAGTCGGTAGGTAAGTGGAAGACTCATACAAGTAATGTTATTGGGGAGTTTGCAGGGAAACAGACAACTATGGATAAATTTTATTGTAGTTCCTGCAATGTCCATAAGTAGGCGGAAGACTCCTATAGGTGATGTTGTAGGGGAGTTTGCAAAGAAGTAGATAGCTTACAGGAAAAATTGACGGCTAGCTGACTGCAATTCCTGCAATGTCGATAAATAGGCAGAAGGGTCCTCTAAGTAATGTTGCAGGGGAGTTTTCAGGGAAGTAAACAATCTCCAGAAAAAGCTATGGGTTATGACCAGCAAAAAAAAAGGAAAAAAAAAGAAAAAGCCCAGAGGTAGGCTTTGCTGCGCGTAAAGCTCCGGAGGGTCTGATAAAGAAAAAATTGTCAAAGGAGGGCCTTCTGCAAGAAAAGCTTCTGAAGGAGGGTCAGCTGCAAAAAAAATTCCGATGGAGGACTTATTACATGAAAAGCTTTAAAGGGTCTGATACAAGAAAAAGCTCCGAAGGAAGGCCTAGTACAGGAAAGCTATGGAGGGTCTGATGCAGGAAAAAGTTCTAAATAAGGGTCTGATGCGAGAAAAGACTCCGAAGGAGGGTCTGCCAAAGGAAGAATTCCGGTGAATGACCTGCTGCAAGAAAAGCTCCAGAAGAAGGCCTGATATAGATAAAAGTTCCGAAAGAGAGCCTGCTGCAGAAAAAACTCCGGAGGAGGCCTGGTGCAGGAAAAACCAGGGGAAGTTTAATGCAATTTCTTACGTCTTCCTTTCTATTCAACAGGAAAGCACTGCAACAAGAGGAAAAGTCTTCCACTAAGAAGGAAACTAGGGACAGCATAAAAAGAGGCACCTACAAAAAAATATCTTGAACGGGACAATAATGACTTGAATGGGCTGCTTCCACCACATCTTGAATGGGCTTCCACCACATAAGCAACCACAGAAACACCTGCACTAAATAAACCACTGCATTGAATGTATAGAAAGTTGTTCTGAGGCCATCATTGAACATTCCCACTACCTGGTCATATATCCATCGAGCGCCCTCCCATCGTAATGGAAGCCAAAGCGGCGACGTCAAGCAAGTAACTTAAGGAATTAGGGAAGTCGGAATGCTGAAAATCAAGAAGTCAGACTACTGCAGGGAACAAGTGCCAAAAAACTGCAGGAATGACCTGCAGGGAAGGTAGAGTGGCAGCTGCACCTCCAGCTATAAGGACGTGTATTCAGCAAACAGGAAAGATGTAGCTCCTCGATAAGATAGTCAATTGTCCCTTTCTTATTGATCTTCAGTGAAGGTGTTTGCCTCTCCGGTGATGAGTAGCTATTGAATTAGGGCAAGGCGATCGTGATCACAGTCGCCACCGGAATTAAAATCTCATATATGGGATTTCCACTAGAGAGAGAG